ATGCCCGAGGGCCAATGCTGCCCTTACATTACCCCCCCTTTGGTCCCACGAACACGAGCACACTTGACGCATTGTACGCGGCCTCATCGATGGCAATGTCCTGGTTGTAAATGCCCGCCCCCTGCTAGCGTTGACGCGCCCCAATCATAAACGAAAACTGCGTAAACGTAGACTTTCTGAGGTCCGCACGGGTTCGGGGATCTGTGCTGATACCCCACGCCCCTGGCGCGCGGAGCGCGCCAGGGGCGGTGCCAAGGGGGCCAAGGCGCCGAACCAAGAAACTCGCGCGGAGCTCCAACAAACTATGTTTATGCCGGTTCTGTTCTTCGAACGCTGGCTGGACGAATCCCACCAGCCCTTTGGGAGACAGGTGGTCTAACGAGGGCCTCTTCCCTCTTCCACAACCCTTCTTCCCTTCGGGGAGGGGAGCCCTCCCCCTCCCCTCCTCAAGGTTTTTCTTGGGAGGGGGTCGCGACGAGTTCGAGCGTCCTTTTTCGGCCCCTGGGAGGGCCAATTTCTGACACCGCTGACGAGGATCGTGGCCCCCGAGGGGGGGACGGAGATCAAGGAACCCCCTCTTTTGATCGACCGCCTCCAAGATGGCCCCAAGAGGCCCTCCAGGGCTCGCAAGAGGCTCCCAACAATACCTACAGAGCGCCCCAAGAAGCCCAAAGAGGCCTCCAAGAGGCACCCGAGAGGCCCCCAAGAGGCACCCGAGCGGCCGCAGAGAGCCGAAGATGACCTCCCAGATGGCTCAGATAGCTCAGATAGCCCAAGCTGGCTCAAGATGGCTCCCAAGATGCTCCAAACGGCCGCAAGACCGCTCCAAGACGGCTCGAGATGGCCACGGAGCCTCCAAAGCCTCCCTCGCTGTTTGACTATGCGTGCCTCTTCCTCCCTCCCCCTGTCAGCTCTCATGGGCATCGTTTCTGGATGGACTGGTGGGGGGATACTTTTTGGTACGCGGGCGCGCGAAGACGAGTCGAAAGCTGTGCGAGCTAAGGCGGGCCGCGCCGAAGCAAAGGAAAGAACAGGCTGCTGGGGATACTTTCTGCTCGCGAGCGGCAACGGAAGGGCCACGCGCCGTTCAGAGCTATAGATAACAAGCCGGAGCCTAAATTGCACACGAGGGAGAGGAAAAGGGAGGCAACAAGAGAGAAGAGAGACAACAAAGGCTGGTGGGGAGACGCGAAGCGCCAAAAAATTGAATTTACCATTCGTGCCTCTCCCTGCCGGAAAAGACTGCACGAAAACGGCGCGTCCCCTTCGTGCCCTACCGAGACAACTACCCTTCCGAGTGCACTTCAAAGGTCCTCCTCCTCCTCCTCCTCCTCCTCCTCCACCTTCACTATCTTGTTCCACCCTCTGGTGGTGCGGCAGATTCTGCTCGGCATGGGAATCCTCCGCTTCTACGCCCTATCTTCCCTCCTCCTCGCCCTCATATCATCCTTGTCCGCGTCCTCTTCCTCGGCAAACTTCCCCACCTGCATCCACCTCGTCCTCCTCCTCCTCCTCCTCCTCCTCCTCCTCCTCCTCCTCCTCCTCCTCCTCCTCCCCCACCTGCATCCACCACCTCCTCCTCCCCCGACCTGCATCCCACCTCCTCCTCCTCCTCCTCCTCCTGCTCCTCCTCCTCCTCCTCCTCCTCCTCCTCCTCCTCCTCCTCCTCCTCCTCCTCCTCCTCCTCCCCCTCCTCCTCCTCCCCCTCCCACCGCTGTCGCCGTCGGCCTCGCAGCTCGCTCCGAGCGCGGACGCGTGCCCCTCCGAGGGGCGGTCGCTCCTCGAGGTGGGGCCACGCCCTGGCGCTGGCGCTGCGACGCTCGGCGCGTCGCCCCGTTGGCCCTCGGGCCACGGGGGGGGGGCTGCCCGGAGGCGCGGGCGGCAGGGACACGGAGGGAGCTAAGAGGAGGCGCGGGCGAGAGGAGCGAGAGGACACCGCCCAGGCCCCGGGAGGCAAAGAGTTCGGGGGGGGGGGAGGCGGCCGCCCAGGCACGCACAGAGTTGAAGGGGCCCTGGGACACACAAATAAATACGCACAAATAAAAATAGTCCCCATATTTTCCTATATTTTCTGGGTTTTTATCTTCCCCCCCACTTCCCATGTTTTCCCATATTTTCTGGGGAGTCGACGATTAATTGTGTCTGTGTGTTTCTTTCCCTCCTGATAAGAGGAGGCGCGGGCGAGAGGAGCGAGAGGATACCGCTCAAGCCCCGGGAGGCAAAGAGTTCTGGGGGGGGGGGGGGGCGGCCGCCCAGGCACGCACAGTGGCTCTGACAGATCTGGCAGCAGTCGGACTGGCAGCAGCCGGCCCTCGTCACCCCCCAGAGCCTTTTCGCCGCATCCCCCCAGGCCCCCCGCGCCGCGGAGTGCTCCGTCCGGCTGGTCGCAGTTTTGGCGGCAGGGCCATGCTGCACGCCTCGGAAGGTGGCGCTCGCCTCGTGCCTTTGGCTTGGTGGGCTGGGGCCTGCCCTGCTTTTTCGCTGGCGGATGGCGCGCGCCAGCCCGAGGTGCGCGCTGGAACCTGCTCGGGCTACTGGCGGCCGTGCGCAGCCGGTGCCCGCCGGAGGCCTCGAGGCTTGGCGAGCCGGCGCGAAAATCCACGACCTCTGCCAAGCAGCGCTGCACACGAGGGGGATGCAGGCCCCTGAACAGAACCAAGCAATTGAGGCCCACGCCGCGCGCGTTTCGCCACGCGTTTCGCCACTTCTGTCTCGGGCTTCGCGCTATCATAGCTGGGCAGGGGGAAAGGGCGAGGGAGGCTGGTCGCGTGAAGAGGCAGCGCGAGCAAGCGTCGGAGGAACGCTGCCGTCGTCGCGCCGGGGCAGGGGGGGCAGAGACGTGGCCGCGGGGGGCAAACCTGGTCTTCGCGCCCTCTGCGGGCCAAATGACAGGCTGGCGCAGGCGGCCACTCAGAGATCCCAGGTCTCTGGCAATATGTCTCACAGTAGTGGCGGCTTACCACCCTTGCGACGAACTCGGGTCCAGAGTTCGCCCCAGCGTCGGAGGCGGCGCCACGCCGCGAGCATGGGGTTGCCAGTGTCCGAACCAGGCTGCCCCTCCGCGCATTCGTCGCTGTCTTTCCCTATTCGGGAATGGACAGACCCCCCTTTAGTAAAACGTGGTTTAGTGAAAACGACCTGAGGCCCAAACCTGGCGGGCGCAAGCCTGAAAAATAACGGCCACGGCGCCCTCTCGAGAACCGAAAACGGACAATTAACTAATCGACGTGTCACTGTTGGGGGTTCTGTCCACCCCCGACCTATCAACTCTTCCGCCATCCGACCGTTGAGATCCATCCCGTCCCCGGCGCGGAGGACGGGAACGCGGCGCCGAGAGGGCGGCGGGCGCCAGGAAAGCGGCCAGCGCCCCTGCCCCGCAGGAGGTGGTCATAGGCGCGGCGTGGCACCAGCCAGCCGCCCGCGGCACGGGCACTGGCTCCTGGCGCTCCTCTGCGCCCTCCTCCTGCTCGTCCGCGCAAGAATCATGTCGGGTGCTGCTAGAAGTGCCCCTGGCCTAAGGTGCCCCCAGCTTTGCGCACCATTTTGGAGCCACTGGGGCCCTCTGGGCCTCGTGAGGGGTGCTCTGGAGGCCGTCTGGGCCACCCCGAGGATCCTGGGGGCACCTTGAGCCAGGGGCACTTCTAGCAACACCCGATCATGGACGTCCTCCTGGTCGGCGGGCGCCGGTGGGTGCAAGGAGCGGCGAGCTGGCCAGCGGCCGAGGCATCGAAGACCTGGTCGGCGCCACGGCGGATCATTATGGCGGCCAGCGCGCGGCGAGATGCACGCAGGAACAGCTGCCTTGCAGGGCAGGGGGGTCGCTTGGTCCGACGGGGCGGCCTGCTGCTTGTCACGCAGCTCGGTTTGGCTCTTCCCATGGCTGCCTCCCCTGTTGCACTGGATCTACATGTTGGCGGCCTTGAGGAAAACGGAACTCCGCCGCTCCCTTGTTGAAGGAGCTGGCGGTGTCGGCGTAGGAAAGTGTGTTCGTACTGGCATATGTGGTGCCGTTCTCTATAACGATGTGGTGGTGGTGGTCGTGGTGGTGGTGGTGGTGGTGGTGGTGGTGGTGGTGGTTATGGTGGTGGTGGTGGTGGTGGTGGTGGTTTGGGCACTGCTGGTGCCTAAACGCCGCCTCCACGGTAAGCTGGTGTCTTTGGCGCGCTGCTCGTCGGGCAGCTCTGGGTTCCAGCATGGCGGTTTCCTGGAAGCGGATGCTTGCGGGCCGCCGCGCGTTGGGGGAGCCCCCCCCTGCGCCATTGCTCTCGCAATCGCGGGCGCCACTCTGGAATCGACGGGTGCCGCGGCTAGCCTGCCGCGCGCTGCGGGTCCCCCCGCCGCTGTGGCGAGGGCCGGGCTGGGGGTTGCCTGCGCCCCCGAGTCGAGCAACGGCTTGAGTGAAAATGGCCACCGGATCCCCTACCTCCTCCTCCTCCTCCTCCTCCTCCTCCTCCTCCTCCTCCTCCTCCGCCTGCTCGTCCACGCCCCAGCCAAGCCCCCCCAGCCAGGATAGCGGCGCCAGAGGGATGTAACATGGCGAGGTCAAGGGTGGAAAGCAGCAGAAAACACGCCCGAGCCAGGGGGGCCGGGGGCCCGCCGCCCGCCGGCGCTGTCGCCATCCCCCATTACTCCTCCCTCTTGGGCTCCTCCCTCCCACGTCCTCCCCCTCCCCCCCGCGCGCACTCATAGCTCTCTCAGACCCGCCGCCCTGACTCCATCTCCACGGCCCTCTCCAGGACTCCATCGCCCCGACTCCTCCTCCTCCTCCTGCCCCTCCTGCCCTCAGCCCCGCCGCCCTGACTCGGTCACCATCTCTGGGGAGCGAAGCGGACGGCAAGCACCAGGGCGTCTCCTCCTCCTCCTCCTCCTGCCCCTCCTGCCCCCGTCCTCCTCCTCCTCCTCCTCCTCCCTCCTCCTCCTCCTCCTCCTCCTCCTCCTCCTCCTCCCACCTTCCCACCTTCCCCCCATCATGCAGCCAAGACTCGGAGGCCACGCCCCACCTTCACGTCCCCGAACACTGCGCTGCTCGGCACGGACACGGCCGCCTGCGCGCGCGGCGGCGGCGCAGCCTGACGTGGCAGCGGCCCGACGACGCCCGCCCCCGCCCGCGCCAGCGAGGGCCCTGGCCGCCCGGGCGGTCCCTTGCCCGGAACCCCTCCCCGGGGGAGACTACACACGGGACGGTCGGGCAACCTGCGCCCTCGGGGGAGGCCCCTGCTGGATCCCAGGCCGTCAGTACGGTTCGGGAAGAAGAAAAAAGGGACCCGTGGAAATCGAGGCATTCGAGGATACGCACTGTGAAACATGTGTCGCCGGGAGGTGGAAGTGCCGCCATGGCAGATGCCAGCCTGGCATGGCTCGTGGGGTGCGCCGAGCGAGGAAGGGAAGCGCAGAGAGGAGGGTCAGCGCACCATGGCCTGGGACACGTGCGCGGACGAGGGGGACGCACCGAAAAAACGACAATCGGCGGAGAGCCCAGGGGAGAAGTAGGAAGGGGCGGGCCATCTCAGGAGGCTCAGAAGTCCCCCGGCCTTCTGAATTGTCGGCGCCTTCCCCGGAGACGCCGGACACCTCTCAAAAGACCAGCAGACCTCTGAGAAGGTCGGCTACTCCTCGCTTCCCCCCCCCTCCCTCTTTGGACGCCCGAGATGGGTACCGAACACATGGGTATAATGCCCAACAGCAAATGCTGTCCCGAACCAACAGCGGCCGCTGTTGGGCAGGCGGCCCTCTGTCTCAAATGGGCACAGGCCGCGGCGGCGTGGACAGCAAATCCTGTTCAGAATGAACAGGAACTGCAGTTGGGCATAGTACCCATTCTTTCAATACCCATTTCGGGCGTCCAGACCCTCGCTCGCCGCCGAGGCGAGAGGCCGGGAGTTCTGGGAGACTGCGCCGCCCAGCCACGGCGGCCTCCGCACGGCAGGCCGCCTCCCGCAGCGCCTCCGGGGCACCCCGCGCCCCGCGGGGGTGGCGCGCGGGGGCCGCCCTCCGGAGGACCGTCGCCGGAACTGCCGAGGCCGCCCGCGCCCGTCCGTGTCAGCGCCCGATCTGAGCTGCGTTCTCCGTTGTCGTTGTATGTTCGACGTCCCTCCTGCTGCCTCCGCTCCGTCGTGGAAGTCCCAACGAGAGCGGCCCAGGAGATCGCCAAGGCACCGTTCCGCTCGAGCCCCGGCCTAATTCTCCGGGCTGACGCGGGCAGAACCCTGACAGGCAACAGGATGTGGACAACGGCGGAACGCGCGGCGCAGTGTCGAAGACCAGCATGCCGTGTTGGCGACTTTCGGACGTGGGTGGGGCGTGGGGGAAACCAGTCTGCGAAGGCGCACGGGCACCAAGAATCTGGATGCCACATGGGGGGGCGCAGGGCGGCGCCCAAAGCCCAATAACGCTATTGCGAACGGTGCGCATGCAGCACGACACGAGGAGCGACGGGGCGGGAAGGATGAGGGGAGGGGGAAACACCAACTCTACAGCAGGAAGCTTGGGACGTCCACCTCCATAACACCAGCGCAGTAAGCATGATCAAACCCTCTGACCCTGCGGTCGTGTCCCGTTTCACTGGCGGCACAAAAGAGGGGCCTGACGCACGACGACACGGAAGCGTACGCAACCCGCCAGCGCGGCTCACTGCGCGGAAAAGGCAACGCTTAAGCGCGCCCTTTCCGTTGGCAGCTTGCGCGCGAATGTTCGCGCAATCGACCCCGATATTCTCCTACGATCGCAAGACGTTTTCGTTACCGTTTGGTTCTCTCGCAGTTTCTGTGGCACCGGCCTCGCACTCAGCACGCACTGCTTGGTCGACCCCATGACTCTCGTACCCGTCTGCTCCTCGTAGCGCTGCACCAGCGCTTCCCAAGACACAGAGCCCTTCCATAGGGTCGTTCTCCAGAATGGTTGGGTACAGGATCGAATCCAGCATCCCTGGGAAAAACGGCGGCAGTTCCAGTTCGAATTCGGCACGCAGCAATCGCCAAGCTTCATGTCCAACACAAGGATGTGGCACAGGTTGGTATTAACGCGCTGGGTTTCCTCCTCTAGATCCTCGTGTGCGTGGGCCTCGGAGTCGACCCTCGCAGCTCGGCCATGTGTGGATCCTTCGCCATACTGTCAGCAGCCATCACGAAACTCCAGCTCCCCATGGTGACACCATCCTTGTACTTCGCATGCTCTCCGAGTTCACCTGACATCTTTTCTGGCTTGCCCAGCAGCTTCGTGCCGACCAACGATTCTGGACGGGGTTGAGCTGCTCTTGCTCTGGTGCCATCTCCTGTTGTTCCTCTTGCTGCTGCTGCTCGGGCGTGGGCACCGCGAGCTGCTTCGATCCAGCTCCAATCTCTATATTATCCCTCAATGGCACCACGACCCCCTCCAGCTAGCCACCACCCGCTGCCACAGTGCATCCGCCGTGGCCACCGCGGCGCGCGAGAACGGGAGCCTGGCCGCATCGCGAGCTGCTTCTGTCCAGCTCCAACCTCTCATCCCTCTCAATGGCACCACGACCCCCCCCATACAGCCACCACCCGCTGCCACCGCGCACCCGCCGTGGCCACCGCGGCGCGCGGGAACGGGAGCCTGGCCGCGGGCGCGGCCGGGCTCCGCTGCCGTGCGGCACGGCGGTGGCAGTGGATCCCCTCTCCCTGGAGCCAAACCAAACACAGAGCAGAAAAAAGTCAGCGCGCGCGTCGTGAAACCCTGCGCTGGGCATCCATTGCTGACGGTCCGCGCAGATGTCTTTCGGGTCGGGCGAAAGGGGGGGACAGCAAAGGGGGGGGTTGAGAATCAGCTCACGTAGCTAATTTTCCCGGCGCCTCCCGGCGCCGGAGGCGGCCATGTATCAAGGAATGGGCCCCTCGGTGAGGCCGAAACCAGCTGCATGCAGCAGATTTCGTAACCCCCCCTTTCCCTATCCACCCCTTTCGTCCGGCCCGATTCTTGGATCTGAGCTGGACCCCCTAGGGGCAGCGCCGGAGGCGCCACCGGGGGGACCCAACGCAGATCACAGAAATCCGCGCGGAGCGCCGAAGTTTGTGTTCGTGCCGCCCCTCCCCATTCGACACACGAAGGCCCGGCCACCGAAGGCCGACAAGGTCCGCATGCCGGCGCCTGGACTGTGCCTCCGCGTCCTCGCGCCGCTCCCTGGCGGCTCGGGGCAGTCCTCCGAGCCCAGACCCCGGGGGAGCGCGGAGGGTGCGCGCCTCCAAGCCACCCAAGAGGTGGCCGTGCCGCCAGGGCGGTGCCTCCATGACCTGGTCGAGCCGCCCGCCCCCTCGAGCTCGTGCCCCACTCCCCGGGGCCCAGGCGTCAGCCCACAGATCCGATGCCCTCACGTGTGGGCGGCGCGCGGGCCGATTCTTAGAGGGCGCCTGCCTTACACTTGTAGAACGGTCCCGCGCCTCCTAAGAGGCAGGGGTGCTTCTAGAAAGCTCCCCCACACTCCCCACTTCTGTGCGTGGCTGAATCATACAGGGCCCACGAATCTCTGACCATTCCCCCAAAGTCGGTTGTGCATCCCGGGTCGTCAATGTGACTATCCCTGGGCCTGGCGATTGCTCCCGAACGCCGAAAACGACGATAAAGCTTCACACGTTGGAGGTCTGGGATCGGCGGCGAGCGCGGGGGGGGAAATGAGAACGAGGAGGCCTTTTCCGAAGACGGCGTGACTTCTCAGAAACCCTCGAGCTTTCTGAAAAGTGATCCGTGTCTTCGGGGAAGGCCCAGAAAACTGATCAAAAGGCCCGGGGACTTCCGAGCCTTCTGAGAAGGCCCAACCCTTCTCACTTCCCCCCGGGGCTCGCTGCCGATGGGAGCCCAGGAGGAGGAGGAGGAGGAGGAGGAGGAGGAGGAGGAGGAGGAGGAGGAGGGGGAGGAAGAGGAGGAGGAGGAGGAAGAGGAGGAGGAGGGGAAGGGGGAGAGGGGAGGAGGAGCGGGAGGACGAGGGGGAAGGCCCGAGGAGGGATGGAAACCGTACATTGCGGAAAACACATGCGTTGGAGCCGTCGGGTCCCGCGCAGCACGCGGAACAAGAGCTGCAAAGGTCAAAATGACCACTTCTGGCGGTTGGCTTAGCCATCCGCCGCAGGGCGATTTTGTGCGAGGCAGTACTCGGGAGCACTACCAGGGAGGCCAGGCACCCCTCACAAGCCTTCCCTTGCTCGCGGAACTCAAGTCCGCGAGGTGTGCCGATCAGGATGCACCCAGTGACAGCCTTCACAGAAGCCGTGACCGCACCCCCCGATGCGGCGAGGACTAGAAAGTCGGGGCACTAGGCCTACACTCCCTGGGTCGGCTGCCACGGACCGCCGTCACGGTCACGGCACACTTGCGTCTGCTGGAGGCCCCCTCTACCTCCTTGGCCTTGATGCCCTCCGCCGCCTCTGGGGACAGACGGCCGTCGACAGATACCGCCAGCACCAAGTTACCCCTGGCCAGCCACGAGGAGGCTTGCGGTCCGACTCTTCGGCCAGGCCTGCCCCGGCCCCAACAGAAACTCCGTCGACCGCAGGTCCTTCCGACCCACCCCATAAAACAGGGCTAGGATCGGGATAAATCGCTCCAGAGCGTTCTGGAGCGCTCTCAGAGCGTTCCGGAACGCTCTGGAGCGGCCGCGGCGCCCATTATATCCTCCAAACCCGCCGACTCTCAGAGATCTCGAGTTATCCCGATCCGATTTTGTCCCGATCTTCGCGTCGTTGACACCCCAGTGACCCCCGCCACGCCGGGAGCATGCAGCACGCTGCTCGTGCGAGACACGAGGCCGCAGGGCGCCCGCGGACGCCGAAGAGGCCCTCGGCCGGCGCCCGTGGGCGGGGCCCCGACACACTTGAGAGCCCCGAGTCCTCGGACCTCTCGACGTCCTCCCCGGGTGCCCATGCGTCGGCGCTGCCTCGGCGACGTTGGCAGCGCCTCGGGGGCGCCGGCAAGGAGCAAATCTCACGCTCCGTAGCGAACTGCATCGGCGATGTAGCGGCGATGCGGCACGATCCTCCCCTCCAACCCGTATCTCGACTTGGACCCCATCGACATCCGAACCCTACTCCAGCCAACTATCGATTCTCCTGACTCGATGGGGTGCGGAGGTAGGGTTCGGATTTCGCCGCGTGTTCGGCGCATTCCGAACCCCACCCCCGCCGCCCATCGAGTTACCTGAATCGCTGATCGTCGCGGGCAGACTTTGGACCCCTCCGCCAGCAGAGGCAACCTGAACGGAACGGAACGGCTGAACGGAACGGAACGGAAGTCTGCGTGCCAGCTCCGGTAACCAGAGCGGTCCCCTAGAGGGCAGACCGTGCGCTGAGCATGTCGGAAAATGAATGTCGGCAACGAGCACACGCAGGAAAATGCGATTAATAATTCCTCTGGTGTGCAGGTTTTCAGTCAGATAACCTTCGCTGGCTAAGAAGAGCGAGAGGAGGAGGAGGAGGAGGAGGAGGAGGAGGAGGAGGAGGAGGAGGAGGAGGAGGAGGAGAAAACCCGACGAGACCTCAGAGGCTCGAGGTGCCCGCATCTCTGGAGGCCTCCGCTTGCGGCTGCAGGGCCGGCCGGCAGGCGGGCCCAGAATCGAACCGACCAGGTCGCATCGGCGATCGGACGGAATCGGATCGGGGCAGAATCGGCGACCGCATGGGGAGACGCCGAGTCGGCGGACATCGGCAGGCTGGTTCGGCGGCGCGCACAAGGACAAGGGGGTGGAGGGAGAGGGGAGGACTTCTTAGAAGCAGGCCGCTTCCTAGAAGGCACCGGCCTTGCATCTACAGACACGGCCCGCGCCTTCCAAGAAGCAGGGGTGCTTCTAAGAAGCCCTCCCCCCTCCCCCCACCCCCCTCTGCGCGTGGCTGACTGGTGGGCCTCCGTTGCGAAATCGGAATCCGAATCGGAATCCAGCATCAAGTACACCCTGCGAAATGCTGAAGAAATCATGGGTTAAGAAATTCATAGTCTCAGAACTTGAATAAAGACCCAACCTTTCTGTTAAAATCTTAAGATTTACATTGAAACGTTAAGAATAATCGAGACTCTGGCCGAAAACTTAGGTTTTCTTAAGCATCGCCTAAGGTGTACGATCGGAATCGGAGGCCATCGAAATCGAATCGACTCGAAGCGGAGGAATCGAAACGAGCCCTGGGGCGCGGGGGCGCCCTCACCTCGACGGGCTCGTCCTGGTGGAGGGCGTGCCTCACCAGGACGGTCACCATCTCGTCCGTGGCCGTGCCCACCTGCGCGTCCTGCACTGGGCGGCAAGGGAGGGAAGGAGGAGGGGATCGATCGAGGCTCGAGGAACGAGATTTTGCGGAAGCGATCTCTCCCTGAGGACCTCCTCGAGCCGCGGATCGAGGTGCCTGGATGTCTGTTGCTGTTGTGTTAGCACCCTCCCCACAGGTCACGCAGCCTCGTCTCTGTCAGGAAGGTGTAGTGACCGAAACTGTGCCCGAACATCTGCCCGAGTGTGACCGAAACCAGCGCCCGCATGTCTCCGAACGCGCCAACTATGTCACCGAAACGTATAGCTCGAAACCGGCGCGATGTTCAAGTTTGGTGGCACAGGTTGTCGGCTGCAATTTCGGGCATGCCTTCGGTCATTCATGCCTTTGGCCACATACCTTTTCGGATGTTACGGGCTTGGCGCCATGACGCAGGCATCCAGGGTTAGGTCGGGCGTGCCCCCCTACAGCCAGATGTTGGACGAAAAACTCAAAAAAAAGCCCACACATGTATTCAAACAAAACAAAAAAAGAGTCAAAACATCGTCCCCAGGCTACTTTGTTACTGTTCTTGAACATTCCTCCTGTAGAGGGACAGGCCCGACTTACATCTAGGGGCCTCCGGGACATCCAGGGGCCCCCGAGGAGGACGAGGCGAACTGAATTAAGAGGCCGCCTCCCCTTTCGCACGCGGCGGCCGTTGCGGGGTTTATGCGGGGCGGCAGGGCTGCGGGTGCAAGGCGATGACGGGTCAGTCAGCATCGAATCGGGAAGACGCAGCGAAGTAGAATGCGAGTCGCATCCGAAAGCTCCTTCTTCCGCCCACGTTTCTTCCCACCTCCGCTCCTCCTCCTCCATCTCCTCCTCCTCCCCTTTCTCCTCCTCCTCCCTTTCCTCCACCCTCCCGGTGAAAAAAGCACCCAGCCGCTCCAGCTCCAATATAGCCTACTGGACGCCCTGGACGTCTCTACTCCCCTAGAGGTCGGCGGAGTGGCGTGAGTCACTCGAATCGGATCGAATCAGAAAGTTCGTCGGATCGGGCCTTATCAGCACGGAGACGGAATCGGATCGGATCGGCTGCGCCAGGATGAACAACAACGCCATCCACACAAACACATCGGGCCGCATCGGATCATAGAAGAATCGGACATCTGATCGGCTCACACAGGATCGCACCGGCCAAATTCGATATCGAATCGGACCGATGGTATCGAAGCGAACTCTGCATCCCCTCGTCCCCTCCGTGAGTATCTATGTTGTCTCACTGTGGTTCTGGGCTCCTACAAGCGGGGCAAGTGGGGGGGGGGGAGCACGTCACCGAAAACCAGACGCCGCCCCTGAATATCAGTGCTGCCTCAGGGGCTGGGTCTGCACTTGCTGGGGAAGCCAAAAGGTACCCATACCGCTACCCCCCGACCTCTCCAAGGGCGCGTTCTGACCAGGACTTCGAGGCGAATCCAGCCCTGGCGAGGGCCTCCCAGGAGTCCCCACAAGGGGAAGACGAGGGAAGGGCGGCGGTATGGGTTCTATTTCCTCCTCCGTATAGCACTGCTGCCTCGGGGGCTGGATCTGCAGTTGCGGTGCCGCTGTTCACGGCCCGTCTGGCCAGGAGGGCGCAGCCTCCCCTCAAGGTCTAGCTGGGCCGCGCCACCGGCAGACCTCGGGGCTCCCCCGTCCTCCTCCTCCTCCTCCTCCTTCTCCTCCTCCTCCAACCCTTCTTCGTTCATCTTTCCTCGTCCTCTTCCTCCTCCCTCCTTCCTTCTCCTCCTCGTCCTCCTCCCTCCATCCTTTTTCCTCTGAGCAGCTCCTCCATGTCGCATCCCCAGACGTGTCGTTAGGCAAAGCCAGACGTTTCGCCTGACACTCCCGCATCTTTCTGGATCATGAAGCTCGGACTGTGTGTCAAACCCGCTGGCCCCCTTGGGGGGCCATCAAGCTGCGAGGGTGAGGGTTGCAGCACCCTGCACCAGTTGCATTTTCCAGTATCCAATATTACAGTCCTGCTTTCTGCTCCCTACTGTAACTGATTGAAGTGCACGCAAGGGGGGGGAACCGAAACGCCGAAAAGCACTGGGTCACCCTCTCCGAATCGCGCTGTCTGAATTCCTGCGGGGCCGTGGGACACTTACAAATACACGAGATTCGCGCTCCCGACTCAATAACCCCCCGTATATTACTCTGTATTCGCGTTCCCGAGGCCACGATCTCCTGTAAATTGCACCACATTCGCGTCCCCGAAACCAGAATCCCTCGTAGAATGCATCATGTTCGCGCCCCCGAGGCCACGATCTTTTGCACATTACTGTACAATTGCGCCTCTGGGGCCACGATCCCCCGTGAATTACGCCACAAGTGCGCCCCCGAAGCCACGCTCCCACGTAAATCATACAATTTTCGAGTCCCCGAGGCTCGTAACCCTTGCAAATTATAGAATGTGCGCGTCCCTGAGGCAACCAACCCTCGTAACTTACACAAGATTCGCGTCCCCACGGCCAAGCACCCTCGCACAGTACACAACTGTTGTGCCCCCGAGGCAACAAACCTTCGAAAACGACTAAAATGTTGCGCCCCCGAGGCAACAACCCATAGAACATTACGAAAAATATTCGCGTCCCCGGAACCAGAATCCGTTGTACATTGCACAATGTTCGCGTCCCCGAGGCCACAAACCCTCGCACGTTGCTCAATGGTCACGTCTCCGAAGCCGGAATCACTTGTGAAGTATAAAATCATCGGGTCCCCGAGGCCACAAACTCTCGCAAACTGTTGCCATAAACCCTGGCAGGTTACGCCATATCCGTACTGTTGAGGTCAAGAGTGCTCCAAGGCGCCAAGAGGCCTCCCGAGAAAGCCCCAAGAGCCCAACATCGTCCATAGTAGGGCAACAATATAGGAGTTTAGGGTTGTCGCATTTTCGGCATGGCTCAAGAAGCTCCCAAGACCGCCCCAAGACAGCCCAAGACGCCTCCAAGAGGGCGCCAAGACGACCCGAGATGGCTCCAAGATGGCCCAAGAAGCGCTCCGAGAAGCCCCGAAAATCTCCCATGGGGCCCCAAGAGGCCCCAAAAGGCGCCCAAGACGCGCCACAGAGACCCCTAAGAGGCCCAGAAGATACCCAACGAGGTCCCAAGAGGCCCTCAAGAGGCGCCGAAACCGCCTCCAAGAGGCCCCCGAGAGGCCCCCCACGACACCCGAACACACATACAAGAGGTCTCAGACCCACAACCCAAACGCGGTGGCGGGATGGGCCGAAGGCCACTAGGATCCGCCGCCCCCTGCTTGCAGGGGTGCACGGCGTGCTGGACGAGCCGTTAGGTTTTGGTTTTGGTTCTTTTTCCAAAAGAACTCCCCAATGGGCTCCGGCAGAACCCGCCACCGTGCGCAAAAACGGCCGTTTCGCTCGGGACATCCTCAAAAAATCGCGAAGATGGCCCAAGATGGCCTCCAAGTCCGCCCGAGATGGTCCAAGACGGCCTCCAAAACGGCCCAAGAGAGTCCAAGACGGCCCAAGACGGCCCAAGAGGCCCCCCAGAGGCCTCCCAGACGGCCCAAGAGGCCTCCAAGAGGTCCTCCAGGAGAGTCCGAAGAGGGCAAAATCATTGATTTTCCATTGGTTTTTGAAGGATCTTGGCATTTGCGCCTTTTCGGCTCTCCGACGGCTCAAGACGGCCCAAGAAGCCCTATCCCTATGCTGGGCACCTCCTCATCACGATGCCAATCTTAGGGGCTCCCTTATTATTGTTTGAGGGCGAACCCCTAAGACTGCCATCGCCTTTTGGCGTGCCAATCTTAGTGGCAGGGAGATGCGCTCGAGGCTGGTGAGTCCTCCCCTCCTCCCTGGCCAGGGGGAAGGGCGCGCTCCTCCGACCGCGGGCCCGCCTCGAAGACCTCCGGCGGGGGCTCCAGCAGCTCCCCTGGGGGGGGGGTGGGCGGGGGAAGCGCACGCGTGGACCGACCACCTGCCAGACCACCCCAACCCAGCCCGAAGACCCGAATGTCGGGTTGGGGGGGGGGTACGGGCTCCATATACGTGCTTTCTCGATGTTCCCCGACTTTCCCCCCTTCAACTGGAAATGGAGGGCAGATCGAGACCTTCGGGTTGGGTTGGGGTGGTTTGGAGGGTGGTGATGGACTCCTTGCGCACGTGCTGCGGACCGCCCCCCGCACGGGCATCGGACGACCACGGGGAGCGGTTGACCAAGCACGAAGGGGGCTTTGTGCTGGCCAGGGCGGGCCTCGGCCTCGAGAGGGCTCCCCGGACTGAGCTCGGAGGAGCGGCCCGGCTCCCTCAAGACCCAAGAATGGGACGCACAGAGACATACGAATACTAGATGTCCTCCTGGGCCGCGCGTCCGACCCGAACATGCAGTATGCCAATACTGTAGTATATCGTTTCCCGAGCGGTGTGGCCAGAAAGCGCCCGCCACGACGCATATACTATGAGACTTCTCGGTGCGGGCGTCGCCCGTGGGGGGGCGACGGACATCTAATGTCAGTCTTAGTGGGCCCCGGAAACGGCAGGGCCGTGTGAGCAGGGGACCTTCGCCACTACTCTCCTCCTCCTCCTCCTCCTCCTCCTCCTCCTCCGTGCTCTCCAGACTCGAAGGTTCAAAGTTCTCGGTGCGTTTCTGGCAAGTGTCGTGCCTCCTTTCTCTTCGTCCATTCCTCCTCATCCCTGTCTCGTCCCCTTCCCTTCTCCTCCCTCCTGGAGTCCTTCTGCTCTCTCTTCCTCATCCCTCCTCTTCCAGGTCTCTCTCATCCTCATCTTCCTCCGCCTCCTCCTCCTCCTCCTTCTCCTCCTCATCATCATCATCATCATCATCATCATCATCATCATCATCATCATCATCATCATCATCCACATCATCATCCTCATCATCCTCATCATCCTCGTCATCCTCCTCCTCCTCATCATCATCCTCCTCATCATCATCCTCATCCTCATCCTCGTCAGCAGCATCAGCATCAGCATCAGCATCAGCATCAGCATCAGCATCAGCATCAGCACCAGCACCAGCACCAGCATCAGCATCAGCATCAACACCAGCATCAGCATCAGCATCAGCATCCGCATCCGCATCCGCATCAGCATCAGCACCAGCACCAGCACCAGCATCAGCATCAGCATCAACACCAGCATCAGCATCAGCATCCGCATCAGCATCAGCATCAGCATCAGCATCATCATCGTCATCATCATCAGCATCATCATCAGCAGCATCATCATTATCATCATCATCAGCATCATCATCATGAGCCATTCCTCCTCTTCTTCCTTCTGCTCTTTCTCCTCCCCGCCGCGCGAGGGACAGGGAGGAGGTGAGGGCGGGAGAAACGTGAAGAGAGGGGATGAGAAAGGGGGAACAACGGGGGGGAGGAGCGGGTGGGATGAGGGAGGAGGTGAGGATGGGCTGGAGGAGAGGGATAGGGGGGAGGAGTGGGGGGGGGGGTGGCCGGGCCCGCCCCGATGTTCTGCTCAGGGCGCGCCCCAGGAGGGGCGGGGCCGGAGCGGATCCCTCGACGAACGGGAAGGGCACGAGAAGGAGACACAGGAGGGGGACAGCTCGGCGGCGAGCGAAGGGGGGAAGGAGAAGGAGAAGGCCCTCTTACAGGGAGGCGAGACCTCTCAGAAGCGCTGGCGCCTTCCGAGCCTTCTGGCAAGGCCCGCCCCTTCTCACTTCCCCCGCCAAGACTCGCCGCCGAACAAAGGGCACTGCGGCAGTGGTAGAGACCACTCTGCGTCCAATCGCTGCTTGCAACAACGTCGTTTGAGAACGGCGTGCTGCCGAAGAGTGGCGGGCGGCCACTGCCAGCGCGCTGCGCAGAAAGGGAAGGGGGCGGGGGGAGCACTGCGCCTGCGAAGGGCTGCAGTGCCCGCGTGCTCTGTAATGAGCTGTGTCGCGTGCTCTCGGCGAGGGACCTCTCCCCGCATGGCGGGGGGCGGGGGTGGCTTTCCTCGCGGGCCCTGAAGCAAGAGGCTGTCGATGGCCTCGGCGTTGCGGTCGAATTCCTCGGCGGCGGCGGCGGCGGCGTCGGGAACGGCGGCGAGTCGAGCGACGGTTGCGACGAAGGCCAACGGGACGGCTGCGGGCGGCGGCAGCGACGGCGACGGCGGGTGGTGGTCGTGAGTGGTGGTGGTGGTGGTGGAGGTATGTCTCCCATGGTTCCCCCGTGCAGAACTGGCAATGTCTTTTTGTTTTCCTCTCTCTCTCTCTCTTCTACATTTCTGGTCAAGGGGGGGTTCGTTTAGCGTGCATGGTCGGCCCGCTGGGCCTGGCTAGCGAAATCACGGTAAACAAAACGGGGGGTGCCAATACACGCTAAAAGCGAACCGTAGCCAGATCACGCTGAACGTGAAGGCGGGGTGCCAGTACACGCCAAACGCTTGCGCCAGCGTTGTGTAAGCACCTTTACCAGCCTCTGGAAAATCAGGAGGAGGGATCGGTCGAGACAATGCTCCCGCACGCCTGGAGGACTGCAATTAGGTGCAACTCCTGTCGGATTCGCAGGACCGGCTTCCTCTCTTCCCATATCCTCCCCCTCTCCGGCCTCTGCCCTTGTCCCCCATCCCACCCCTTCTCCCTCGTTCCACCTTTTCTCTCTCTCCTACCTTCCCTCCACCCTCCACCCTCCACCCTCCACTCCTCCCATCCTCCACCCTTTCACCCTTACCTTCCTCGCCCGCTTCCCCGCCCTTTTTTCGCACGAGCCCTTGGGGGGTGCCCCATGGGGCTGCCCTGGGCCTCTAAAAATGTTCGTTGGCAATTTCGAGCACTCCCGAGCTCTTTCGGGCTGGACTCCCTGAAAGCCCTCCTGGGCAATCTTGGGCGCTTTGGGGACCATTGTGGTCCACTTTGGGCAGCAATCGGGGCCGTCCTGGGCTGTGTTGGCGAGCTGTTGCGGCTTCTTGGAGCTCCCTTGGGCTGTCCTGGGCCTACCTTGAGAAGAAGAAAGGGCTGTCCTGGGCCTATCAGGAAGCCATGTTGGGCCCTCCCTTATTGGGATGCTCGGGGCCCTCCTTGGGCCCTTCTGGGCTGGTTCTGGACCCACCCTGGGCAACTCTGTGAAGCCTTTCTGACGTCACTCCTTGGAGCCCTGGGCCGTTTTGCCCCCCCCCCCCCGTGCTCGAGCCGCCCCCTCCCATGGGTCTGCGCTTGGCCTCCCTTAAGCTATCTTGAGCAATCTTGGGCGATTTAGGCGCCGATTTGAGCCGCTCTGGGCAGCCATCGGGGCCACCCTGGGGCGCCTTGGCAGCCTTTTGGGCCCTCCTGTAACACCCTCGGACCGTCCTGGCCCTCTCTGGAAGCCCTAGTTGGGCGAGCAACGACATATGTACATGTACGCCCTCCGCGGTCTTGCCTGCACGAACGTCCGCGTGAACACGCACTCCAGGGGAAACTGACCGCGTACGTGTACCTATGTTGCTGGCCTCTGACTAGTGGGCCTTCTCCGGGGTGTCCGGGCACTCCTGGGCTGTGCTGGGCTGCTTCTGGACCCACCCTGGGCTGGCTGACAACTCTATGGAGCCGCGCTGGGCCTGCATGAAGGCCACCTCGGGCAATCTTGGGCGTTTTGGTGGTCATTCTAACAATTGTGGGCAGCAATCGGGGCGCCTGGGCTGTCTGGGCGGCTTTTTGGGCCTTCGTGGAGCTTCCTTGGACCGTCCTGGGCCTCTCTGGTAGCCCTGGTTGGCCTTCTTTGGGCTGCTCGGGGGCCTCCTGCGCCGGTCTGGGCTGCTCCTGAACCCACCCTGGGCTGCTTTACAACTATGTGGCCCTCTTGACATTACCTTTTGGTGGGCTTTGAGCCGTCCTGCGCCCCCCTGCTGGAGGCGGGACCCGTATGACTCGTACCTGCCCCCCGCCCATCCCGCCCCTCCCGCCGCCCCTGGTGTTGCGCTGGGTCTGCCTGAAGGTCCTGGTGGGCAATCCTGAGCCTTTGGTTATCATTTCGGCCTGTTTGGGCAAGCTTCTGGGACCACCCTGGACTGTCCTGGCGGCGTTTGGGGCCCTCTTGGAGTTACTTTGGGCCGTCCTGGGCCTGTTGGGTTTTTGGGGTGCTCGGGGCCCTCCTGGGCTTTGCTGGGCTGCTCCTGGGCCCACTCTGGGCTGTCTTACGAATCTACGGGGTCCTCTTGATCACCTGTTCGAGCCCTGGGGCCGTCCTGGTCCCCTGCTGAAGCCGGGGCCCTCGTTGGCAATCTTGTGCGCTGAGGGAGGCATTTCGGCCCGTTCTGGGCAGCAATCGGAGCCATCCCAGGCTGCATGGGCGGCCTTTCGGGCCTTCTTGGAGCTCCCTTGGGCCGTCCCAAGCTACTCTGAAAGCCCTGGTGCGACTTCTTTGGGGTGCTCGGGGCCCTCCTGGGCCGTTCTGGGCTGCTCCTGGACTCACCCTGGGCTGCCTTATAACTCTATGGGGCCTTCTTGACGTCACCTCTTGGAGCCCTAAGCCGTCCTGCCCCCCGTGCTACGGGCCATGGGGTCGCGCTGGGCCTCCCTGAAAATCCTCCCGGGCAATATTCGGCGCTTTGGGAACCAATTGTGGCTCGTTTGGGGCAGCAATCGGGGCCATGCCATGCTGGGCTGTCTTGGCAGCCTTTTGAGCCCTATTGGGCCTCCCTTGGGGCGCTCGGGGCCCTCGTGGGCCTTTCTGGGCTGTTCCTGGAGCCATCAAGGGCTGCCTTACATCTTTAAGGGGCACTCGAAATGAAACGTCACCTTGGAGCCCTGAGCCGTCCTGCATCCCCTGCTGGAGCCAGGACCCGTATAGCGTGCACTTGCCTCCCGCCCCTCCCGCCAC